TCAAATACTCTGAACGCGAAAAACCCGAGGACCCGGGGGAAAATCCACGCGACTGCAGGGAGAGAGACAAGCAAATTCATAATATATAATAGCAGGCATCGTCAGGGTCTGGATTTAACCCATGTCCTCCTACATACCTGGCGAGGTAGTTAACATCTCTTAGCCACCGTGGCGCCATGGACAATAGACTCTCGTTTTAGTGTCATGCCATCTGCAATATCCATTCCACCAAATGGCAGAAATGAGTTAAAATTCGATCTTCCAGCGCAGGGGTTGAAACAATGGAATTTATTTGTTCCTTTAATTTCTCCAACTCTGTCCTCCCAGCAGTAAAAAGGGGTATTCCAAAGTTAGTCCCTCTCCTCCCCTACCTCCCATCTTTACCAAATGTAAGGCCCCACAGAGCTACGTAGCTTTTTTTTCAGAGAAGCGACCAGGCTATCACAAATGATAGCTCAACGAAGTGGCTCAAGTCAGAATCAGGATACTTATTAATACTGGAGGAATCCAATGAGCTACGAAACTCTTTCTTACAGAAAGTTACAACAATAACAAAAAAACAAAAACACGATAGGAGTGCAAAGTATAGGAAAGGTAAATACATCACTTGAAAAAATATAGAAATACAACTAAATATTGTTTTATCTTACCAGGTAAGGCCTATTGAGCTATGTAGTTATTTTTCAGAAGCGACCTGGACACAACTCATAGCTCAACGAAGTGGCTTATCAGGTGGGAATTTATTGCATATAGATGTTGATTATAAATGTGGAGGGGAAAACCAGAGGATTCGGGGAAAAATCCATGCGACCACGGGGAGAGAGATAGAGTGAGAGATACACGCAAACTCCAAATATGCCACGGGCGTCAGGGTCGGGATAAAATCCACAACCTCCTGTATACCAGGCGAGGTAGTTAACATTTTACGAGCCACCGTGGCCGCCCCGTGATGGAACGTGTCTAGTCAGGTCATTTCTTGCACGCACGCACACACGCACACACGCGAGAACTAGGAAGTTCACAAATAAAATATATTACACCCCATGCAAATACCACATGTCATTGTTACAGACAAGACAGGCTCCCGCCTCGTCCTTATGTATACAACGGTATAAACACCATATTCTTTGGGTCTTTCGGTAAAGTCACGTAGATAGGTTCAAAAAAATAACAACACAAGCGTTGCGATCGAAACGTCGTAGTTTTTTGTTTTTTTGTTATTTCTTTGAACCCATCTAAGTGACTTTATCGAAAGACCCAAAGAATATGAATACCTGCAGTCACGAAAGATTTAAGTCAAGGTATAAACACCATTGGCTAAAATAAAAGCACGCACCGTCAATTACATTTTCTTCATTTATCACCGTGTTCGTCCTTGTTAAACCCAACATCCACCGCAACATCCTCATAACTGTGGCTGCCATAGCTTGGTCCTCTCTCTTGTGGCATTGTTCCAGTATTTCATGTAGTCAACCTTCTGCTCTTTCCATTTTGTGCCTCTATCTTGATATCTGTGGACAACATACTACCACCGCCCGGGTCTGCACTGCCAGCTAGGGGCAGAGTCATTGGGTCCCAATATTCTTCACACTCTCTGCCCACTTAAGGGCTGCCCGGGACTGAGGGCCATTTGTTTGCAATGACTTTCCATGTTTTGTCTTTAGGGTTTTGTGGCCGGTTGTCACCAGACAACAACCCTCCTCCTTTATCCTGGCTTGGGACAGGCAGAAACACATTTCTAATAAAATTTGTTTTTGACTGTCCCAAGCCATGATGCATTCAGGCTGACCCAAAGGATGCACCACGTGTGCAAAGGTGGGAGAAAATTGGGCCATAATGTGTCTTAGGTAATGCATCACATGAGCTAGAAATCCTATATAAACATCACCCAACATCATACAAGTCAGTTTAACATGACAGCTGCAGGCTTAGTGCGGCCTGGAAGCGTATTATTAAATAATACACATTACATTTTGATTTAAAGAATTACTAATCTACAACTCATTACTAATCATAACCAATGACTGATTACTAATCGATCATATAATTACAATACCCCTCCTCCGCCTCTAATCACTGCACCTGATATGAGTTAAGTGATGACGTCACCCTGCTGCTCTATATAAAACCGGGAGCAAGCGAGGGCTTTACCATTCTGGCGAATTGCCCGATGATGCTGGTTGTATTTACCAGCGAAACGGCGTACTCAAACTGTAAATGTGGATTCGCTCTTCAACACACCGGTGGGCTAAAGTAGTGAATTATTTGTCTTTTTGTCAACGTGACACCTTTTTTTGCTGATTGGCCGTGTCGGGTGGTGGAGGGTTACGACACATTTATAAATAAACGCGATCTAACCCAAAAACCTTTATTATGGATCATACAAGTCATTCTTGCCGAGGCAAACTCCGAGACTGGCACCCGTAACCAGCCAAGTGTCAAGAGTCTTGCAGAGGCAAAGGCTCTGTGTCGCTAAGTGTTGAGTTCTGCGCTGACAGACTGAGTATCGCTGAAAGTGTTTTATTTTACGTGTTTTCCTTATGTGTTGAGTCACTTGCAGAGTCAAGTACTTCGAGAAGTTGTACTGTACTCATCTAAGAGTTGTGAGAAGCTAAGAGGTGTGCAAATGCATTTTCACATAGTACTGTGAGAAGTTAAGTGGAAATTTGAGTTAACTTCTCACACGTCTTAGCTCATCACAGTATTATGTGAAAATGAATTTGCACACCTCTTAGCTTCTCGCAACTCAATTTGAGTTATACACAAATGTCGAGTGTGCATGAATGTTGTCCAAGCTATAGGCTGGATAAGTTACGTTGTCCAAGTGACTGATATTCTGATGATAAGAGTTTTGATGAGTTTTGGAGAGCGAGCTGGGCGAAGGAGATCTCGCGAGGGAGGGGGGCACCAAGGGTGCTCGCGCGAAGCAGTCAGCTACTGAAAAGGAATGAGGAGCAGCGTGGCCAGAGTACTCCAACTGCAGATCGAGCCTGGCGTGCAGATACCCTGCAAACGTGCAGCCCAGGAGCTAGCGGCTGACCACGAGCGTGCTCACTGTGGAGCATTGAGGATCCTCCAACGTGGATCGAGCACGATGCACAGACAACGGTGCGAAGGAGCAGCGAGCAGCAGGGCCGCGAGCACACAACAATTGTGGGCCCAGCCTGCCGTTCTACTACACATCGTTGTGGGACTTGAGGTATTGTTCAGAAAGAAGAAAGAGAAACATTAACTTTACACTCACTCACTACTTTTAACTCTACCTTGTACAGGTTGTGGGCCAAGCAGAATCTCAGCTTGCATGCCGCACACACGGGAATCGTGTATGGTCGCGTTAGCATAAGACAGCCTATTGTTGTAGTTTAATCACGTGATTGTGAGATCAGATTATTGACGTTTTCTAACTGTTTGATATTCATTTGATGGGAACGCCTTTTGTGCGAATATTTCCATTTTGAGCTGTTGCCTGTTGCACTGGGTTAACCACGTCATCGTTAGATTTGACCTTTGATGCTTTAATGATCATCCAGTACAGATTGATGAGTACTTATATTTGCATGGGCACTGTTGTTGGAATTCAGATGGTAAGATTTGGTGGATGTTAGGGCAAGTTGAGATTAAAGTTGCTTAAATTAAAACAGGTTTCCGAGTGCTTCTTTCCTAGTACTCGTGCATCATTGTCATAATGACGAATTGTATCCTGCGGTGAGATCTGAACCCCGAGACCTTCAATTAATTTCATTTCAGTTAATTTATTTTAGTATAGCCCTGTGAGCCATTCGGCTCTTGAATCGGGTGCAACTACAACAAACAAAAACATGAACAAGAAAACATCTTAAAGCGACTACGAGCAACAGAAAAAATCCAGGAAAAAAACAGCAAAGTCTTCCAGAAAAAGCACCGCATATCAACGCTGTGTGCAAAAATCCCAGTGGGATGCAAGCCAAACAATAACCATGAGACAATTTCAATTACAGTTACCAGTCTAACTCTGTGTACTACAACAAACAAATATGGCTAAACCAGAACCTTTTCGAAATCACCAAAATAAAGCTCCAAAAATAATGTAGCAGTGATCATTGGAACTGTGATTCCAATTTAAAAATAAACAATGTACATAATATGTACGACCAAACTTTGCAAGCCACAGCATCATGAGATAGGTATTACGACCAACGAAGGCGGCGTCTTTGCATAGACAAGCAGCACCTTGCACACCATTGGGTGGCAAAAACGTCGTCTTCCTCATGCTCACATTTCCCTCACACAGAGCCCCGTGTCGGCATCTTCAGGCTGAGTCGACCTCGAGCTCGAGGAGGCCCAGACAGGGTTCAGATTTGTCCCGCCATTGACATTGAACCCACGATCTCCTGCATATCAGGTGAGGGAGTTAACATCCCACCACCGCGGCTACCCCAAACCACTGCTGGTCGACAGCCTCGGAGAACCATGTCGTTCACGGGGTGGGGGGTCATTTGATCATACTTCCCCACGCCAAACAGAATGAGACGGTGCAAGAGGGCCCCCCGCTCGCGGGGGCTTGATCAGGATATCACTTTCCACGTGTGCTAGGCATAGCCGGGAATCGTACGGAAGTTAACAGGGTGTGTCGTGCAAGGTGCGCTAACTCACTACGCCAACGCCTCCAGACCACATTCCTGAAACACATTCCTGCGGAGGGAGCTGGTAGGAACGTTGGGTTGCTCGACAATGGCCAGGGTCAACGGCGGCGTGGTGTATTCCGCAAATATGCCCGACTGAGGGCGGGCACAAGCCGGCGTGAGTAGGTTAAACGTTGAGTTTTATAAGGGCACCACGGGGTGACCAGCCCCACCCCACCCAGCCCCACCCCTCCCACCCCCCACCCAGCTCCACCCTCCCCACTCAGCCCCTCCCCACCAGGCCCACCCTCCCCTCCCCACCCTCCCTACCCTCCCTACCCAGCCCCTCCCCACCCTCCCCTCCCCACCCTCCCTTCTCCACCCAGCCCCACTCCCATTTTTGGATGCACGATGGACGGACACAATAATCCCCTGTGGGCTGGTGTAACCAGGAGGTTCCTATCAGTATAACAATTCAAATGGCCAAACCCTGCGGATATATCCGCATCTGTGTACATTCCCGTATGTTTGACATTTTAAATTGGGCCTATCCGCACATTCTTCCTGCCAACCTTCATAAAGGTTAATACTTGATTATTGAAAAAATATATATTTTTACATGGTGCAGCACCCGCCCAATCATATATATATATGTGGGCACACACATACACCGTGTGACTGTCCACTGACTTCGTTTGAAAATCGATAATCACGCATGGTCAGAGATTTTCAGCTCTTTTCTCAACAATTTTCAAAGTCGGTAAGTGCAACACCGCGCTGTGGCGATATCTGTCGCGTATCACTAAATCGTAATTGGGCACTGCCGCTCCTGCCTCCAGATGAAGGGATGCCAAGGCACTTTGTGACTTAAGCTGGCCGACTCTTTTTTGCCAGGAGGGGTTCCTGCCAAGTTTATTTTTTTCTGCACAATGCTATTGTTTCTGTCGATTGCAAAAAAAAAAAATACGAATAGTTACTGAAACAGATAATAGGCATCTTATGTAGGGGAGTTGGTTATTTCATATTTTGGTTGTTGGGAAATATAACCGCTAATAAAAATATATATAGAGAGAGGAATGGTAGTCACAAAACCTAAGTATTATTTTCTGTAATAAATGATTATTTTGGGTTAGATCGCTTAAAAATACAAATGTTGCTTTAAATCAGCCACCATCACCACCTGACAGCCAATATCAGTAAGGGGTTTGTGTCATGTAACACAAAACGTGTACAATTAGTTTACTAGTTCAGCACTAACTGGTTGTTTTGGGTCGGAGAGTTAAACCCACGATTACGCTCACTATTATTTTGTGCAAAATGTACGATACCTATGATCCTGCATATCAGCCAGGAAATCGCTTCAGTTGACTTTTGATGGATTTTTCTTCCTTCCAAATACCTCTGTTGAATATTTGTCGTAAGTTTGCACGGCGTTTAGCGACTGCATGGGAAAGATGCCTATCCCTCCGCATGGCAGCAACATATGTTCAGGAGCTTGTCGCCAAAGCCGAGGTGTGCTTAGCCACAGGAGAGTTCACAGGAGAGAGTTCGTGTGGTTGTGCTATTTCTACATTCACACGAGCACAGACTACACTAGTTTACTATGTAAGACCACGGTGGCTATGGAGATGTTAACTACCTCGCTTGTTCTACAGGAGGTCGTGGGTTCCATCCCGACCCTAACGATGCCTGTTTTTGGGAGTTTTTGACTCTCTCTGTCCCCGTGGTGGTCGCATGGATTTTTATCAGGGTCCTCCAATTATTTTCCCCTCGACATTTAAAAACCATGACGTTCGAGTATTTGGCTGTTGCTGAAGCGACCAGGCCACAAATTATAGCTCAATTAAGCGGCTTATCACGTGGACATCTATAGAAGCAGCCAAATACCCCATAACGGATGTTTTTTTTTTATTTGGAGCGAAAATAACAGAAAAATCTACACGACCACGGGGAGAGAGAGAGAGACGCGCACAATCTAAATACACAACAGGCGTCGAGGTCGGGATCGAACCCACGACCTCCTGTATACCACTGGAGGGAGTCAACATCTGGCCGGTTATGATGTGTATGAGCGCCCGGACCAGAATGGAACGCAGTGCCTCTCTCACAACTAATTCACAACCACAAGTCCGCTTATATATTTTAAATGGCTATAATTTTTAAGTTTTAATTCTCTCATTGTAGTATCATTATCATCACGATCCATGGGCAGATATCCCTGTAGGTTTAAACTGCAGATTTCATAATTTCTTTCAATATTCCTTTGTCTTGTGACCAATTGTTCAATTAGTGGGCACATCTTTCTAGCCCAATCTCTAAATAGCCATCGTCAAGCCATTATGTGTTCGGTCTTCCCTCATTTTCCGGTTCTTTCTATTTTTCCGAGCACACTTGCCACTATCTTCTTGTCCATCCTTCTTCATATGGTGCCCAAATAGTGCCCAGCTTCCCTCTCATCACTGCCTGGATCATCATCATCAAGTTGTTTTCTATGGAGCAACTGATGAATCTAGGCGACTGATGAAGCTAGTTGGAATTACTGGTGAAACGTCGTACTCAGATTGTACATGTTGTGGCTTGTGTCTCCAACACACCGGTGTGCTGTACTAGTAATGACTTGGCATGTTCTGTTTACGTGACAACCCCTGCTAGTTGGCTGTGTCGGTTGGTGGCGGGTTAACCGACACATTTATATATTTACGCGATCTAACCCAAAAAAACCTCTATTATGGATGATATTGGTCGCGTAAGCTTACGTGTTAAACTTCTTGAACTTCCTTACTTGTGCCTTACATCAAGAAGGGGTCTAACTTCAATTCTCCACCGGGGTGCCTTTCAGTGTATAGAGTTGTGTACGTTCTCCCGTTTTATCAGAGTTAGTGAATGTGAGAGTGAATGAGTGTGTGTGTGAAATATTTTAAGTGTGGGGAGCGGTAGCGAGCGGTTAGCGATACACTGCACTCTGAACCCCACAGAGTTCGATACCCGCTCACGGCCACCAACACCAGCGGCGAAATGAACAGGCTTTAGGCCTCCCCTAGGTCGACTCAGCATCAAATCAGTACCTGAACCAATGTGTAGTAAACGTCGCCACTGGAGAGACAAACGAAGCCGGACGTGGTAATGGCTACCTAATCTGGTCGCCGGGTTTGTAGCACATTACAGCTAACCAATGCGCCACAGCTCGCCACATACATACAAAGACATACATACACACACACATAATTCATGGTCAACAATGTTGAGTGGCAGCCAAAGGAATGCATCCAAGAGGACGGCCCCACTTAAGGACACGGAGCACCGAAGTCACGCCATGCGTGGCAGGTGCTGGGTGAGCATTTGTCGCATTACCGGATAATCTAGTAGATTAGCGTGCGATTTGGAGAGGCCATTATTCAACGTTGACTTGCTGCTGGCTGACAATGATTGATCGTTTGATAAGGGGACAATACCATTGACGGAGAGTGCCCTTTTTGCCATTGGTGTTCATACCATTGTATACATGAGACGAGGCAGGAGCCTGTCTTGTCTGTAATGATAAAATGTGGTATTTGCATGGAGTGCAATATATTTTGTGCATGAGAACTTCCTTGTTCTCGTTTGCGTGTGTGCAAGAAATGACCTGACTTGACACTTTCCATCACGGGGTGGCCACGGTGGCTAGTGAGATGTTAACTACTTTACCTGGTATACAGGAGGTCGTGGATTCGATCCCGACCCTGACACCTGTTGCATATTTGGAGTTTGCATTTCTCTCTCCCCGTGGTCTCGGGGATTTTTCTCTGGACCCTCCAGTTTTCCACTCCACATTTCGAATCAACATTATGCATTTTTAGAATTTGGCTCCAATAAATGTCCACTTGACGATAAGCCACTCTGTCGTTTGTGATAGCCAGGTCGCTTTTGAAAAAGAGCTCCATACATCCGTGGGCCTTACCTGACAAAATTTATATATATAGATTTAATAGTAAGTTAGCCCTGGCTGGGAATGAAACTCAAATGACCAGGATTTAGAGGTCAGTGTGCTAACCACGACATAAAAGCTCGCGGCCACAATCCTGAATTTGCATGCAATGGTATGACCTCAACACGTTTTGCGCATTCTTGACATTTTAAAACGCACCCTTTGGCACCAAGTAACTTTTCTCAAATATCTCCTGCAACATTTACGACTTGATGTAGGTGAAAATCATCCTTTAGTAAAAGAAGTCAACTCATCTAGAAACTGGATTTCATTATACATTTAAAACACTTAACATACATTTATTGGCCTCTCCCTCCACTTTATAGCTAGTATGGCAGAAAGGGCTGGTGCTTAATTGAACCGAGGACCTCATTAAAAAAAGATGGCCACCGCACCATAGTGCGGCACTTTCACATGCGCTCCTGCTGCCGTCTGGAACGCTCCTCCTCCTGATATTTGGAAGCCACTGGGAGCTATGCACTTTAAAATCAGCTAAATTTAAAACTGATTTCTTTAGAACTGATTGTTGTTGTGTTTAGTTTGTTGTCCTTCACCTGCACCTCCAATTAGTATTTTTTTATGTACGAGGCAAATAAAGTTCAATATACATGCATGATCAAATTTTCCTGGCACAGGCAGGGTTGAAAATAATGGTTTAAGTTTCGTGAATGCACTGCCCCCACCTCCAACGCCTCCGCCCACCACACCACGTCTATCCCCTCAGCAGTATTAACGGGTATTGCTGCAGTTTGTTGATTTGGCACGTTGTGTTTATTAGTGGGGGGGGGGGGGGGAAGGGGGGGGGAGGTGTTGTATGGGTACACCTGTAGTGACTGGGCCAGAGACACTAAGAGTAGGAGGCACTCTGTTTATGAACAGCCTTAACAGTTCACACAAAGTAACTACAGCTCCCAGTCAGGACGGCTGGCAGACTGCCTGGCTGACGACGCCGAGATGGTGAAGGCGTAGACAGCAACGAAGACTCCAGCAGCACGAAGGGATCCCACTCCAAACGACAGCCCCGAGCCCCTGCTCGGGGCCCCCTTTTATCCTCCCAGCCTGGCCTCGCTCCGCCCCGGCCACGCCCCCTTTCTGGAACCTACTAACGGATTCCCGGGCTTCCCTCACGTGCACCCTCTGTAACCTTTCCCCTAAATCCCTCTCTCTGGTTTATCAAGTGACCTGCTGTCAATCAGGACTGCTGTAACTGCAGATCCCTTTCCCTGCCAGCAACAAGCGCTATGCTGCTAAGTGACTGCTTCTACGTTACTACACACCTATAGGACGAGTAGGCCAAAGACTCGAATTGTTCTCTCTCGTGGATAATCTTCAGCCAGGAGTGACGCGAGCACAAAGCGTTTCGCTCTCCACCACGAGAATGAACAAATACAGGGCAGACCTCGCAGTACACGTTGGGGCAGAACCGCGTTCCACAAATAACAGAACTGGTGAGAAAAATATTTTCATGTCCCTGGGTTCGAAATTATCACCTCCCCCCCTCCCAAACATGTCACCATCGCGGTGCCCCAGACTGAGAAGTTTAGGCTGAGTAGTGGCGGGCTGTGTATTTTACACCTAGGCCTTTAGTGATATCCTCCACCAATGAAACTGCCTTCGAATAACCTCACCATGATACTAGGGCTATAGGCTATGATCATTCGACATAACCACCACATATTCACAGACAGTAACCTTTATTGTGTGGAATAAAGTGATTTAACACGAGGCTTAAGACCTATGAAAGTTACAATACACTAATTGCAGAGACGTGAATACATGGTGACTGAAACCATCAA